GGGGGGGTTTGCCATTGCTTTTTCCAGTGTTTACCCCTAGAATTATTCCTGTCAGCTTCTGGAAGTTGGCTAGATTTTGTTGTTCTTTGGTTTTCTAAGTTTGTGTGTTTTGCAAAGCATCACCCAGGTGCCCTCTGTACTGGGCTCCCTTTTCATTTGAATTTAACATAAATACAGAACAGATAACAGCAGTGTGTTCCAAACAGAAATCAAATGTGCTCAGTTAAGAGAAGCAGTTTATTGCCACTAGTTCAGCCTTCATTGCAAGCAAAATAGGTAGCTTGTGTTCTTCAGAATGGATAGACCCAAATACAGGCGAAATGGCCTCTTGTATCTGCACTATTTTAGCACTGCTGCTATTAACACCAGTAAAGTAGAAGAGAGGTAAATACACAAGCTGAGATCTGTAGTTCAATCTCTACTTGAGATGTACCTTACTCACTGGTAAGGGAATGGAGTCCTCCCTATGAAGAAGGGTGACAGAATCTCAGACACATTAAGGAGTAGAAGAGAACTGATTAAAGAATTACTTCTGTAATCTAAAGTTGTGAACTGATTTTCTAAAGAGCCCAGTCCCTGTTTGAGTAACTGAATGAACTGGCTGGACTTGGAAATGGTGGAAATTGCTGCCTGTGTAACTTAAAGCCAAAGCCTGGCCGTTTCACTGAGATGTGAAAGAAGCACGGGGGACTGACCTAAGCACCAAAGCAGGATTTGTTGAATGTTTAACTGTTGGAAACCTGGACCCACATATTTTGTTTTTAACAGGAAAAACAAGACTGGTAAATTGCTTAACAGTCTGCCTTTGATCAAAGTTTTGAAATGGTGTAACAATCAAGCATAAGAAAACATGGGATTGGGGAGATAATGTTTATTTTTAAATAAAAAGGTGTTGTTTTGGCTTACAGAAGTATTTACTGATTTTAGCCTCATACTTGAAGTTTTATCATCCTGTTATTCCAGAATGAGAAACTGTTGAACCCAATGCAAAGGATGTAACAACATAGCCCACAAGAGGCCAGTATGTATTTAAATTTTGAACTACTCAAAGCTGTATTAGTCCAGTGTAAAGGGACCCAGGCATCTTCCTAGGAATGCAACAATCTACAGGACTTCACTTGAGCTGAGGAACACAGAAGGGTCAGGAATGGTCTTGAAAGCTCCTGTCTCTTTAGTAGGAATGATCAGGACCTTAGCAGCTGGGAAAAAAAGGTAAAATATACATAAACATACATTCTTAAGAACGTCCTAATACTTTGTATTCTGTGGCTGTGGGCAGGCAGGGTGGAAATTGGCTGTGTGAGATCAGTATCTTTAATCTCATATCTGCTTTGCTTTTCCTTTCCTTTCCTTTCCAAGAAAGGAACCTTGTGAGGCACCACTTTGAAGTACAATTCCTTGAGACCCTTAAAACTAGGAGTAAAAGAGCTGTGAAAAGCATGGTGTAGAGAAGACTCAGCTACCTACAAAAGAATTAGTCAAACTTGTCCAACTCTGTCTTCCGTAAGTGAAACTAAAATTACCATTTGCTTGCACCAAGGCTTTGTTGTGTGTACTTCAGTGGTACTCACAGGTCTTTTCTTGAGATCGAGTTTGCCTTGTAAATGTGCGCCGATTCTGTTAATGGTAGCCTTAGTAAATACAGCATGATAGCCACACTATATGTGATGAGTGAAGTTAATCTCTCTGCAGAGTACCCTTGGGTTGATTCATAGTGTATTTGTGTTCCTAAGCACAGAGGGTTGTCTGCATTATCATTTTGCTTTCTTTCTTGCCCACAGTCAAGGTATGGACAAGTTGAATCATGGTGACAGGCAGTAAAAGACAATGTTACATCCTTCAAGTGCAACCTTTTGGGCTCTGGATGTCGGTGCCAGTCTCATCAAGAAACAGGAAATCTTGTAATCTGACAAAGCTTCCAAAAGCTCATTGCTTACTATTAAGGGCAATTTCTCCAACAGAGTGCTTGCTCTCCTGGCTGAAGAATAGCAAAAGGTAATAGCCCAGCAGTTCAGAAAAAATCTGTTTCGTACCAGCCATTTCTGCTCCTTAGCTGGCACAAGCTACCAGTTCTAAACCTGTAACATTTTCATGTTCAGAAAATCTGTGGCCAGACATGAACATCTTGATCAGGTGAAAGCAATGCAAGTAAAGAGAATTCAATTTTTAAGGTGAAAAGAGGAATTGTTAAAATGGTGGGTTGGCTTTTAAACCATGTCACTGTGAGCTTTGTAGGATTTGAAAATCCAAAGAAATCCAAAGGTGTGCAGACAGTTGTGCCGTGGAGTAGGTGAACAAAGCAGCACGCTATATGCCTTCTCATTTTAGCACTTGGTTCTACTGGTGTGGATATGCCCCATAATGACTGAGGGCATAATATGCTCTTTTCTAGGATTTTCAGGATTACAGAGTAACATCTCATCTCTTCCTAACCAGCCCCAATCATTGCTGTCACCGACACCAATGGCCATTGGTATGCAACAGTGAACGGGTGAGAATAGAACAGTGAGAGAGGGTGGTGAGGTTGCAGGGGGGGGAACACGCTGAGCAGACCAGGCAAAACAAGAGGGATCTTTTTCTCTTGACCTCTTGGTTTGTAAGAACGGCATTATATTATGCCTCTGTGAGAAAATATCTGAGCAGAAGAGGAAAGACATAACAGGGTCTAGAGACGCGTGATAGCCCTGTGTAATCAATGGCCTTGCTGGACTTGTCAATGCAAGACAAAAGACATGCTTGGACTGAGGCGTCAAGATCCGAAGAATTAACAAATGGAGCAATTAACTTGCACTTATCTTATCAGAGAGAAGTAAGGGGGGATAACCCATTACAGTGAATCAAGTGATCTGTGGGGCGCAACAGAGGCTGAGCAGCCAGAGATTGCTTCAGATAAAGAACAGATGGCCCCTGGAAGCGCATACGTACGCATGCCCGCTCCATAGGTGTGTCAAACTGCTGAGTCCCTCTTCTGACAACACAACATTCCATGCCAAGAGCCAATCGATACACAATAATTGGCGTAGTACCACCTCACAAAAAGATTTTCCAACCATATAAAAATTGGCACTTGAAAACTCTCTTTGGGAGGAGGAGCCAAGTGAGAACCTTATCTGACAGATGGGTGGACAGGCCTGAACCTCTCTTCCCCCTCCCTGAGAAGGGACGCCTTTTTGGTAAGAGTCACGCCTCTGACTTTGTCAGACGTGTGCCCGGGAACACTTTGTTATCTAAAGCGCTAAGCCATTACCTTTGAGCTCAACTTTTGTAGACAGTGCATTTGTCAACGGCAATCCCGAATCTGTGATACCTGTCACTTGAATAAATTACCTATCGTTTCAACTTTGCAAAACTGTTTCAGTGAAGGTCCTTGGAGGGCCTCTGACAGGCAAGTTGAATCTGGTAAGTGGCTACACACTTAACCCTTTAGGGATAAACTGTTGACCAAGTCTGGGACTAGGAGTAGATCCAGCCACACCTAGACTCTCCTCTGAGAATTTGGAATGCAAGGGGGTCTGCTCTGAACCTCGTGACTCAACAGGAGGGCTCTCCTTTTGCCGCTTATCAGACTCCCTTATCCCTTTCCATGTGACACCCTGTACAATTTTAGAGGGTATATGGAGATGTATAGTCTAGGATAGAGACCCTTCACATGTCTTCTGTGCACAAGGAGTCAGAGAATATTTGTCTCTCCTACAGGCAGGCTCAGCAAGGAGACCAGGGTATATATATTCTGATAAGGAAAAGGATCTCCTTGGGAGGATGCCCAAGACAGAGCACTTCTGGCATAGCTATGATTTCTGCTGGCAACAAAGCAGAGCCTCAAGGTCATATGGTCTTAACATTGTTTTCCCCGTGGACTGTATCTTCTAGGTTGCAGTGCATAATTATAGCTTTGTCATTTGTGCCCCCAAATCTTGGAAAGGCCTGTGTTTTGTGTTGCTTTCCTTCTGCCCCAAGATCCTTCAGCAGCACACAGCTATGTCAGAGACCACCATTCCTTACTGTATCAGTCTTGCCAAGGAAGTCTTTAAGGAGCTACAATTTCTAGATGACTAGTGCTCATGCCTCAAGGACTGAAATTGAATAGTCCCTTCTCTCCAAACTACTTTCCATACTGGGACCAGTCTTGTCGTAGCCAGAAGCAGCAGAGTCCCCGCTGGAAACTGGCTATACGGTGACAAAATTTTTTCCCGTGGTATGGTCACATGATCTCGCTAGGTGATGTGCACCAAGCTGACAAAAGGTGGGCTGCATCTGTGCGGTGGGGTTTGCCGCCTTCTGAGGGGGTAGTGAGCATTTTTGTTCTTCTCAAAGGCCAGCACATGGTCTACCTGCTGTTGCAAGACTACAGATATTGGCCCTGCATCAGCCATTGCCTTTGATTAGAAACATTTTGTCTTGCTTTGATTATCTTGGCTTAAAGCAACCTCCTTACTGGTTCTGTCTCGACACTGCAGTGCGGGCAGTGACACAGTTCCCAGCCACATCCACTGAGAGCAGGGTGTGCACAGGCCCTTGTAGCATTCACATATCCCACTGTATGTAATACGCTTAGGAGAGCTGGGGAGGTCCTTGATTAAGGAAAAGTTTGATGAAATAGTTAAATGGATAAGATGGAATAATCCAAGCTGATGGCAGACTTTATGTTGATTTTCCTGGTGTAAAACTGAGACTTTTTGCTATTAACCACAGAAAAATAACTCTGTTCCAGCAAGGTGTTTGCGTGGAGCTGTTGGAAATGAGTATTCAGGGCCAGCTCCTAACTGGTCAGTCTGGCTGGAAAAAAAATACAGTTTTATCTGAACTGAAGAACTAGTTTATACAAAAACAAACTAAATGGGTTTATTCTGATAGAAAAATGCAGCTCTTTGGAGGCTCCTGAAATGAACAGTTTAAAGGAGGAGGATTTGTCTTAAACTACGGGCGTTTGTCTTAACATAGGGCACAAGCAGCACTCAGGAGCTTAGTACAGTTCCTTGTGCAGAAGAGAGTAAGTCCTAATGGGCCTTATGATACGACCAATTTTATTGCCTTTCTTGAATGACATCGAATATCAAAGTACCTTGCAGCAACCCTGTGCAGCAAGGCAGCCCAGTTTTCCCGTTGTGTAGATGGCAGGACAGGTACAGAGAGAGCAAAATCCCACAGAGAGGCTGGAAAGAAGCGAGGAATCGATCAGCAGTCTCCTATGGACAGCTAGCACTCTTCCTGCTACACAAATATTCCTCTCCCAAGAGTTATAACTGACTGGAGCAATTCTCTCTGTAACTTTATGTTTCAGGGCTTCTTCTTGTATCCACCCTTTCCCACTCCCAGTAAATAAATCCTTCAAACATTATCTCTCTGTTCTGCTTGGTTAATGTATTTTTTCCCCAACCAAAGAAGTTGTTTCTAGGAAGTCTTCTGCCTTACTGGAATCTTTTAGCATGGTGACATGCTCCTTTGAGATAGTTGCTGGAGAAAGCATTCCTGAATTTGTGGAAAAACCTTGTCCACTGGCAACACCCGAAGGTAAGTAACAACAATTTCTGATGAAAGACAGTTCTTTACTTAGTGCATGCCAATAACTGACTGCATTTTCAGGTGCTCTTAGGTATATTCATCCACCTCATGGAAGTAAATATTGTCTGTCATCTTCTACAACTGGAAGGGCGATAAATAAATCAGGTGCAAACTGCAGTTACCTGTGCCTGTCCTCGCTGTTTTTAGAGATTTGGCCTGGACGAGTCAAAATCAGTGGGAAAGCTGCTGTTCATTTTAGCTGCTGCACATATGTCCTTACTGAATAAAATACAGCAGTTCTTGTTTATGCAAAACTCATGATCAAATTATTTGGTTGGGGCTGGAAGAATGTGACCTTTAATGCATAAGTAAATAAGCCTTTCCATCATGTGTAATCTCTCCCATATGACAGATCTATAACTGTCTAAAGTGACAGAAAGATCGTATCAGTCTTTATTATATATCAGAAAAAAAATCACAAATCATTCCTGTCAGTGTGCAGAGCTAATGAACAAATTTCATTCCCAAGTGGTATCTGTGATGGATGTAAACTTGTAATATGTACACTAAGTAAAGTAAAGCAAGTTTAATCTAATCTCCTCCATAAAGCAGACAGGAAAAGAAACCATGCATTTAAAATAAACCCAAACAGAGAACGTAGGTAACAGGCCCCTGTTCCATTTCACTCATACATTCATGAATTCCAACGTTTCTTCTTGAATTTTAGGAGACAAAGCAATATCCTGAGCTGAAGTTAAAAGTAAACCAAAGCCTAATGAAAGAGTGGGTACCAATAGAAGAAGGATCCAGAATGTTTTTGACAGTATTTTTAAGAAGTATGTGCTAAGGTAACACATCTTTTTTTCTTGCCGTTAGCTGGTTATTTTTTTTTTATTTCCATAGCAAAAACTGTAAAGAAGAAAAGCACTGTAGTATTCCTCAGCAGCAATAAAAATGTCACCATTTGCAGTCAGCCTACTGCAGTACTGCTACTTTCAAATACTGTTGTGCATTTATAGCTCAGTTTTTCCGATCAACAGAGAAGAGCATCAGAGCAGGAACCATTATTTTTGTTACCTGGTTTTGTATTTAGCCTAATGAGGCCCTAATGCCTCTTGTGTGCCATTCAGGCAAAACCAACACAAAATTTTAATAATTCATAAGATTCAAGACATATATCCCAGTTCAACCCTGTTTAATTTGTGATGTCCTGTGGCTGCAAGAGTGCTGCCCTTCTGTTCTTTTCCGTACTTTCCTTGTTTTGTCCCTTTCTCTCCTCTCTCCTTAATTCTTAGTTCACTCTAATTCACCTCTTCTCTCAGGCAGTTCTTTGTTTACAAGTCTGCCAGATGGAGCAGGTCAAACTCTTTTTCTTTTCCTACAGTACTCCAGAGTCTTAAGTCCAACAGCTTCCATTCACCCTCCTCTGGTCTCTGTATTGCTTGTGCGGTTCAGGGGTGATACTCACTTTCAGTGCAGAGCACCAGAATAAAAGGGTGTCTCTGAGAAGAAATGTGGCTTCATTTTGCTGCCTCAGGCCAAGAATGGACTTGATCCAAAATACGTCACTGTCAGTGGAAAGGCTTCTGTCTGTTTCTGGGGCTTTAGGAAAGCTGTGAAGGATCTTTAGGCAGGAGGGAGCATTGGATTTGGCCTCAAATTCTGCCTTCAGGGATTCTGGATTTTCAACAAGTCAGTTCTGTTAATAATTAAAAAAATGCTGATTTGAACACAAATCAAAAGAGGAATTCATTAATACATTTGCCATATCTGCTCCCCACCGCCCCAACCTATGTGGAGCTTTCGCTTATTGCTTGCTTTATTTTTTTTTCTTTCCGATTTGAATACTTCTCCTGAGATGTAGATAACTAAAAGTGTGTAGTGTCCGATACCTGCACTGATGCCATCTACACAGTATCCTTGAGCTTGACCAAAGGTAAGCTCTAGAGGTCTGGCTTGATTAGTGACTAGACCAGTTACTAACAACTAGACTTGGAAGAATTTTTAAGTTAGACAAAATGGAGAGTCTTTGCAGGTCAGATTTGCCTCAAGTAGAGTGGGGAGTAGCAGGATGAAAGAATCTGTCCCCTGCTGACTTTAAACTGAGCGCTGTGTGTCTTACCTTCTACGTCCACTGCACAAAAAGAACATATTTTCAAAAGTGCAGGCATTGTGCTTGTTATGGGAAGGAGCCTTTGTGTTCCCTGTATTCCCAGAGAAAAAAATAATACAAAGCGTATGGGTATGAAATATATGCTGTGCATCACCATTGTAAATGGGAAAGACCTAGGCACCTACAGGCGTCTTGTGGCTGACAAGAAACTCTTTGTTCTGCTGAGACTGATAGCTAATCTTTGTTCTTGGATACATGAGGTTTGGTATACAATGTCAACAGCTGCAGACAAAAATTTGAGGGTCAAAATTGGTGGGCCAAACTGTGATCTATTTTATTTATATGTCTTTGCAACATTCATGATTCACTGGTCTTATTATGCTAAAACAGAAATCCAGAACACCCCTGTGAAAACACCTTTCCTGAGATAGCAGATTTCACTTTGAAGCCTAGTTATTACACATAATAAGCCAAATTCTCCACTGACGTCAGTGTGGCAGGGGTGTGAGTCACTGCTGAATTTGAACCAGGTTTAGTGAAAAAGATGAGAATGACAAAATGCACCTTGGCACTGTCCTTTTAGTGGAAGTGAACTTTGCTTAAACAATGTTACAGAAGTTGGGAGTGAGTGGATAGGCATAGGCATAACAACAATGATCTTTTTTCATCTGCATATGCTTCCTACAACCACCCAAATGTGTGCCTGCTGTTTGAAAGAAAACCAACCACATGATATACAGCAAACGTGCTTTAAATCACTGCTAAGTAAAAGTGATGCTACCCACCCAGCTTACCTTTTATTGAAGTAGGACCACCTCTTAAAGAAAAGCTTTGCCATGAGTACCATGCTTCAAGTGTTGTACTTATCTTTTTAACAAAGCTCTTGGCAGGGCTTGGGCACATGCTGTGTGGTAGTGTGGTAGGTTACCTCACTTATGCCAAATAGTGATCCTGTGCCAGGCACTGCAGCACTCTTGAGAGAGTGCAGGAAGATGTCAGTCCTCCTTCAGCTTGCCAAATGGTTCCAGGCATGCTTTTAGATGTCATCTGCAGTTGCCTGAAGCCATTTCACTTTACAGTGACCTACAGTAAAGGTGAGAAAACAAAGCAGAGCTAAGACAGAAGAACTGAACAGAAAAGCAGTATGTCTGTTGGTAATCAGCTTTGTAGGATTACATGGAACTTTTACTGAACATTGTGAACTGTAGTTAGCTTAATTTCTACTAAAGTTGAAGGCATGAATTGATCTTTCTGCTACCATCCAAGAAAGAAATCAAAATTACTTCACTGAAGACTGGCTGTTTAGTGTAGGAAAACTGAAGTCAGGAACTAAGCATAAGAGAATGAATATTTGTCTGTTTGATATTTAAACAGGTAAGCCCCTGACTCCTCACAGAATTGAAACCACTGAAAGTGACTGAAAGACAGACAGCAGTGTTTGAAATCTGCCTGCCAAAGAAAGTGCGAAACTTCACCTAGACCTTGCATCTGATGATGGATTGGCCCGCACAATGAAAATAAGGGTGTTCTGTCCAATGACTTCAAAGAACTCAGTGTTGAGACTGGAGATCTAGTGCAGAAGACTCTTCACTGATCGTAAGTAATGCAAAGTAAGTATCTTTGGGCAGTGAGTGGATCAAATGCAAGATAGCAGGGTTTGAGCTGCAAAATCCATAAAGCTGAAACACAAAGTCCCAGAACTTGAGCTGAAAAAAATGGAAGCTGCAGTCTCATAAAGCTAGCCTGTGGACAGGCAAGCAGAGGAACATCAAGGCCTCATTTTCACACTGGAAGTTAAGTCCAAAGCCTGCAGTCTCTCCTGAACAGGAGCCCATATTATATCCTGCGAAGCCAAAGCCTCCTGTTTTGATTGCTGGTATGTGCCGTTTTTTCTTGCCAACCCCTTCCCTTTTCCCAGGGGTTCCAGTTCAATTCGTCAGCAATCTCAAGAATACCCAAGTGGAAAAGAAGGGAAAAGCCTGCCTGGAGTGTGTGCTGACTTCTGAAGACGTCACCCTGAAGGAGATGTTAGAATGGAGAAGTGATTGAAAGGTCTTCTCAGTGCATCATGAAGCATTAAGGGACGAAAGCAGAGCTTATCACTAATGCTGCTGAGCTGAGTGACTTGGGAGATTGCACAGCAGTCATAGGCTATGCAAGGCAGTGACCCTAATAAGCAGGACAGCAGTGCCAGTGTAACTGCGGAAGGTAAGCATGAATGACTCAAGAGAGGAACAGGAGGAGGAATAGTAGTCTTTAAACTGTTCTTCAGTGAACTCTGCAGAGGAGCAGTGCTGCTTTGCTATAACAACTAGGAAACTGATGTGAGATAACACTGCTCTGCAGTCTGTTTATTGTTTAACATAGAATAAGATGTAAGTCTCTGCCCCCTCTTGGTAGCATGCAGATAATAATTAAGGACTTCCCTTTTCTTATAAAGTGGTAGAAGCATAAAGCAGTAAATCTTCCATTTAAGTCCTTGCACGTATCACCTAAACCATCCTAGTAAAGTGTACTGTGTTTTTTATTTTAATCAGGGTTGTCCTAATGAATTCTTATCCTGGTTCTTTAAAGTGACCCATGGGACATTTGGCTGCAGTCTGCTGAGGACCATCAGCACAACATGAGGCTGGTAAATATTTAATATCACATTTGTTTTGTGAATTAATTTTGCAGTAACATTAATGATGCTGTAAACTTAAGTCTATGATCTTTACAGAAAAATTCAACGCTGTTACGAGTGGAGAAAAAAAGCTGGGAAGCTTAGCTTCATGCTTTCAGCATAGGCTGGAGAAGAATTTCAAAGATACGGTGTGGATTTTGGTGGCTGTTAGTATTTGAGATGACTTCTGTTAGATGTAGACTGGCTTTGAACAATGCCTAGGTGCCTTCCATGAAAAGTGTAGCATTTTAAGACCATTTTAAAATTAACCGCATGGAAGGAGGATAAAATTGTATTAGTGTATCTTTCACAGATTCAGGAACAACTGAATATTCAATTGGTAGGATGGTATGAAGGAAACTTCAGGGGCCAAAAGAAGCTCAGATGTGAAGTCAAGCAGATTTTCTCACATGGAAGATTTATCTGCCCTAGTGCCCATCCCTGACAGATGTCTCTGGGAGGCTGGTCTCTTCCTAATCGTCCTGCGTTTTCTGTGTCAGATGATGCCCTGCAAGCCCTGTCCTGGTGTGTGGACTTGGGTGGAGGTCACTCCATTGGTTGCATTTTGGCCATGTGGCCCTGGGCTTTCCAGGTATGCGGCCTGATGAGGAGTCTGTGGCCAGGGTTGAATGTGGCTGGTGGTGGACAAGGAAGCCCTGGCCCCCGGAGTATAGTTACCAGGCCTGGTATGTGAGTGCCCTCTCTGGGCCATGGCCAGGGTGACCTGAAGGCACAGTGTGGGGTAGGGGCCTGCTCCAACCACTGCTCTGGGACAGAAACCACTTCTGTGGCACAGGTAAGCTGGAAAAGTGTGGCAGAGCTGACTCGGACTCCTGTGCACACTAGAATTGCAGGCTGGTGCCTTAGTTACAGATTCATCTTTCCCCACGCGGAGTTCAGGTTCAGATACAAATATTATGTAGGCAGTAGCGGAAGTGTTTGGCTGGTTTGACAGCTCCTCTGGACCAGCCAAGGGTCTGGAGCAGTGCCTAGAGGCTGTGTTCTGCTTCAGCTTTTGCGTTGCTGTAGCTACATTGCCTGCAGTGAACACCCATAAAGAAGGGCGAGAACTAGTTAGGAGCAGCCTTTTCTCCATCCCCCTTTCTTCCTGTGATGTCCAGTTCACTAAACCACTTTTGTCCTGCAGGCCTGTCCATTTTCTTATGAGGTCTTTCTGCTGTTAGATACCTCCTTAGTGTTTGAAGTGGCTCAGTCAACAATCATTCTGCAGTTTTTCTGTTCACATGCGTCCACTGGGATTTCTTTCAAAGACATTTGCAACTATGAAGAGTATGTGTGTGACGTTCATGCTGGGGATCCTGACATGCTCTGTGTTGTCCTGAATGACGTGAAGGTGGAAGGAATATGGCTCAGTGACAACAAATAGGCAAAACACCCATGGTATTGTCAGTATAATGAAAGGCAGCAAAACCCTAGTGGGAAGTTTGCTCCAAAAGGCTACTGTGGGACTTGGCCTGGTTTGATAAAGGGCTTTTGATTAAGGACTAACAGATGGACAGATCAGACAAGAATGGATCTAATCTTTCCTGGTCTACTACAGCCTTAGTCTTACTAAGTTTTGGCTTTGAATCTTGGGTTTTTCAAAAATTTTCTTCCTGGTCTCCTGTAAAGAAGCTTTCACATTTGCTAACCCATTTTCTCACCCTGTAGACTTTCATTCTTTCCCACAAGGCTGGCTTCTCACCACCCACCCTTCTCCCCATTCCAGTCTGATTTTCAGAGTAATCAGTAAATGTAGCCTTTGCATGCTAATGCACACCCTTCATTACATGCCATGCGGCTCGTCTATGCAGGTACACAGATCACTCTGTCCCCATAACACTCCATTTGTTTTGTCCATAGATCACAGAGCATTTACCAGAGTAGGAGCTAGAAATCCTGATCGCTTAGTCGTCTTAGAGCAGGAAATTTTGATCAGAGGATTCAGGGCCAGGGTTCAAGATGGTGTTTGTTGCAGTGCGGGTCATTCTGCCTCCCATCTTCTTGTCAAATGATGGACATGAAGAGGATCTGGATAGTGAAGCAGGGAGCCATCCATAAACTCGTCCTTGACAGAATGGGAGAGGAGCGTGAAGGGAAGTACACGTTCAGAGACGAGTGGAGCAACCATTGCCATTGGAGGTAGCCACCCCATCTCCTTACTGCTCTTTACGAGGCGTACACAAACACTTGCAGAATCAGTACTTCACCACGTCTCCTTACTTGGGCCTGTACCATTTTACAGGCTTATCTACGTGCATGAGCAAAACCTCTTCTTTCTCCTTCTTTGTTCCCCGAGGGGAGAAAATTGAACAGTCGTACTGATTGATTTTAAATGAGTAAGTGTAGGCTTCTGTGTTTGTAAATCAGCGATCAAGAATTTTGGCCTGAGCCTGTACTTCAAACGTTGTTGTCATGAGCAACCAGAAAAACACCTTTTCTGAAATTCTATATGGGAATACATAAATATGGGCATTACTCTGCGCTTGGCAGCCAGATGGTGCCAGACGGGTCGTCAGGCTCGCTTGCAGCCGGCAACGCACTGCTCTGTCCCCTGGATCATAGATACTGCTGCACAGACAGTGGGACACACACAGCAGTGCAGGTGCTGTTGCTGCGGCACCAAATATTTATCACACCGGCGTTGCAGTAAAAACCCATCCACAGCAAGAGTGTGGTATAGGGAAGGTTGATTTTCCTGCATTCAAAAATATTTTTGAATGCCTTTTTATGACTTCCAGCAGAGGATTGTTATTTCTGGACATACACAAAAATAAAAGGAAAAACACCAAATACGTTTAGGAACCTGGCTATTTATCTTTATTGTGTGCAGGACATCCTTATCATTTTCCCATATTAGTTTGTAACAAATGAGGGAGCGTTTTCTTTACAAGCAGTACCTAACTTTGATTCTACTGTCTTTAGCATGATCATAGATGTCCCAGTATGGCCTTAGGGGAGAACAGCACGAAGGGCTGCTTCTTGTGCCTTGCAAAACTTAGAAACCACCTGGAATCAAATCTCTAGGCCCTAGGGAAGTGAGGAGCTTTGAGGCTTGCTATTTCCCAAAGGTCCCTGTTTTTCTGCTGAGCTGAACTACTAAAGGAGGTCAGCTGGCTCCCTCTACATGAAACAGAACTAAATTAACTGAGTCAAAACACAGTGAAGATTTTGAGCATCCCCAAAGACTTTCACAAAATACAGAATTCTTCTATTAAAAACATGAAGGATTGTATGAAGCTTTGGACCACCTTTTCTGGGAACTCGCAGACACAGGAAAGATGTCAAGCTATATTTGCAGCTGCAGCTTTCAGATGTCTTCTGTTCTTTCCAGATTCTCCAGTTACTGAAGAATCTGTCCTCAAGCTTTTTGCTGCATGCAGTGTTACTCTGAAGACTAAGCATACAGGAAGTATCAAGGTGCCTTGCAAGACAAAGCCAGTGCCCAAAGTCACATCGTTCAAAGATGATACTGAGGTGACAAAGGAAGAGAAAGCGGTGATGAAGAAAGCCAGTGACTGCGTTACAATCAAAACCTGTGGGAGAGAAGACAGTGGAGCCATTATGCTGAATCTGAAAAATGGCTGTGGTGTGGCTTCTGGGAATCCTTACCTCAACTTTGTTATTAAGTCCTAAATTAATCATGTTATAGCAGGATGATCACTAGTAGGTATGTTGAGTTACAAACACTGTAATTCAGACTTTCTTTTTAAAAAATCTTGCCATGGAGCAGACTCTGAATTATCAAATCAAGTGATTCAAGACAGTTTAATTTTGCTGTAATCTACACTGACTTACACCATGACAGGATATGACCCTCTAAATAATAGCCCTCCATGTCACTCTGGTCAGCTGCTCACGCTGCAGCCAAACTAAATCCCCCAACAGGGGAAAGCAGAGTTCCTGTAACACATGGGGAAAATGTAAAATGAGATGGAAAGCACCCAAAGGCAATGGAGGAAAGCAGGTGACTCACTTCGTCATCAAGAGGAGCATGGCTGGAGAAAAAATCGTGGCTCAAAGTAGGGGTGGTGGATAGCAACTACACCACATTTGCTACAGAGAAGGTAGAGGAACGGAAAGCCTGCTGATTCAGAATACGTGCCATCAACTCGGAGGGCCTTATCAAGCCCCTGGAAACAGAAGACATTTTTTCTGGAGAACCTGTTAGCCAGTTGTTTTTAATGTGATTTCACAGTCCCGCTTCCCATTGGTTTTATCCTCTTTCTCCTTGCCAGTCCTCAAAAGAACACTGTCCCCTGTGCTTCAGGGGCCACATTCCAAGGGCAGAGTTTAGAAGCTGCCTTGTGCTTAGGCTGATGGCCAGTATCAAACAAAGAACCAGGTCCTTTCACTAGAAGCGTTTGTGGACTCAGAAACCCTTTACCATGGACTGGTTGCGAGAGACGACTGGCTAACGCACTGTTCTAGTGTCAGTTACATAAGCTTAGTGGGATACAGAAGTGAAAAGTGGCTTTCTCTGGAAAATATTGTGGGAGAGGAGGGAAGACAATTTAAAAGGGAATGCTTAAAAACATTTTGTTTTGCAGCCAAAATAGAAAATATGTCAGCCAAAAACTAGCTTGGTTAGAAAACACTGCTGAACTACCTTCTGGGAGTTCAGGTACCTCTTGTTCCCGTTTTTCCTTTATGGACTCGGATCCCCAATGAAAGGGGATTTCAAGTCCCCTTTCCCCAAGACCAGAGTGTATCACAGAAGACACAGTAAAAACAGCAAGTCTGGTCTATCGAAACATTTCAGAAAGAAAATTACCATGTTGAAGTAATATATATTAGTTCTCACCTAAAACTTTGAATTTTTGTCCAAACTTCATATGGATTAGGGAAGCCATTTCTAAGCCACTCTATAATGCATCACAGAAAGAGCTCATTTGCAGAAAAAGTGCAAGAATTGAAATGTTTCAACATTTGAAATGACAAAAAGAAGTAGATGGCAAAGAAAGGGTCTTTATAAAAAGGTTGTGGCCATGAATAAACCTTAACATACAAGTTACCCTCCTTGACTTCTTTCTGTGTACATACATACATATATATTTATACACACACATAACACATACGCACAATTTGGAATCAATGACTCTGACTGTACTGTGCTAATTTGATTTTTTTTTTTCTGTGTAGAGCTTCTGAGACAGGTGTCAGCCTGAAGGTGTCAGCCTGAAGTTGTAGATGTCAGGAAGGAAGATGTCAGCATCACCTGGAACTTCCCAGCCCAGAATGGAGGCTCCCCAGTGCAAAGTTACATCACAGAAAAAAGGAAGAAAGTCAGCAATCTTTGTGCCCCAGTCACTATGGATCCAGTCCAAGGTCAGACCAAGATTATTATCTGTTTTATGTAGGCAGAAGGGAAGTCAGATAAGCTTTGAATGCAAAGCTGATTATTGATTAATCAAGGAATAAGTCATCAGGGATATAGATACTATTTTGACGTATGTTGTTCAAAGCGAGATTTTCAGCCCTCAAATGGAAATGGCTTGATAGCCACGAGCAACAATGAGAGGGCAGAACATTCAGCACATCTGAAAGTCACATTTATGGGTTTGGGTGCCCAGTTTCAAGCATCTGTATTTTACATTTATCCCTACCTAAATTTGACTGCTTTTCCCTGACTTAGACCAGAACTGAGTTAAACAAGTGACTGATTTTGTTGTATCCATCAGATAGCAACCATATGATCCATGCCTAGCACAGCTTGTATAACACATGGGAGTGTTCCTATCAACAGCAGCATCTGACTAACGAGACTTTTGCTTTTCCTTTTATGTTAATATTTTGGTTCTTTGTTGGATTCTTTCCTCTGCCTTATTCAAAATGTTGGACTTTCATATTAATTAAGTTACAGTCAATCACACTATCCAAAAATATCCTCCTTAAAGCACCATTGTTATTTATGGTAAATAATGGAAACACTTTTCAAGGCAAATTATTCAATTACTGAGGTTTTTTGCAAAATTGAATGGAGGTTTAACCTTGCTTGAAGGCTACATTGTGAAAATCTTAGCCACTCTATTGAGTTCGTTACGTCATGGGCAATCCCACTGAAGTCAGTGGAGCAAGCCATGAAGATATTTTTCCCCAGCATGTATGATTATACCAGGCGATGGACCATAATCTAGTGGAAAGCAAATTATGCATTTTTCCTCTACTATATGACAGCTGGAGAAGTGAAGGTGAGACCTAGTTAAGGGGCTCCCTGAAGCCCTGAAATGTGCATTGTTGTCCAGCAGTCTGTGAGCAGAAATTTCTGCTTAGTTTATCTCAATCCAAAAGCAATTTTTAAAAAAATTAGTGATCACTTGGGAACACTTTTATGGATGATTAAAGAGTTGCATAACTGCAACATGTGTGTCTTTAGGTACCAGATTCAAAGTGAATGATTTACTGGAAGATACAGAAGGAGTTCTGTGTGATAGCTGTGAACTGTGCAGGCCCTGGACTTCCCAGCATGCCCTCAGCCTCTCGTTGCAAAGGATCCCATCAGTGTGTTTCTTTAACTGCTTAGTATCTAGTTTTCCTAAACATATATGTGATGATCATATCTATGCATTTATGACTGAAGCCTGAGGGAATGTGGCAAACTCCAACCTGGCTCAGTGTAATGGACTGCATTGTGCTTACAGCTTAACTGAAGAGTAGGGAAGGCCTTAATACTGTTCGCTATAAACATAATTATATTGTAAGTGTGGTATTATTTGCTTAAAAGGCAAAAACTATTAAGATAAGGACACAGTAAGAGATTCCCCCCTGGGGGGGGGGGGGGGGGGGGAGAATTGAGTATATGCAAAGAGCAAAGATCAGCATGATAAAGGTGCTCTAAGGTGTAGATACCTTTAGTGCTTAATGTTCACATATAGGTTGCCAAAGGCCCTAATGTATGACAAAGAAAATTTGTCATACATGTTGCTATGCGCCTTTCATCAGTCCCCCATCAACCCTTTTAAAAGAAGAAAAAACTCTTGCGGAATTCATGGAAGTTGCTTAACTTCTTTTATTTTCATAGTGGATTTTTAGGAGTAAAGAATCTGTGCCTAATTCTGGACTAATCAAAATCACAAACAAACTCCAAAGGATTGCAGTAGCCTCAGAAATGCTGAAATGGGCAGATTTTATTTTATGCCAGTTATAGAGAATTCTTACTCTATATGACCATATAACTAAAGCATTTTTTTTAAAAAAAAAGGCTGTCAGAGGTGATCAATACATAGCTTAAACTCTTGATGGAATCCTGTAATAGATACAGGAGTGGGGCTTAGTAGGTGCACATATTTTAGAAGAAGAAAAAAAAACTGGCCAAGTGTGTAAGCTGGTGTAGCTAAAAAATGAGAGAATTCTATGTAGCAGGCAAGAGCCTTGAGGTTAAATAGTTACTCAGATGGGAAAGCATTCAGGTTCCTTTACATCAGAAGACGACACAAAAACAATTTAAACCCTGAAGCTATGGTTCTTCTGCTATTTGAAGACTTGCATTGTTTCACATTAGGCCTAGGAACATATGTACTGTCCATATGCACCATATTCCTTATGACCCTGTGTGCTCATACGAGTGTTCTGTATAAAAGCTATTAACATCAAGTTTGTCACAGCGTGCTGCACTGGTTGACTTTTGTGTGTTGGGGAGGGCAGGGGGAAGGTCATTGCATTTTAGCTGAGACTTTCAGAGCAGAACGTGGATTCAGATACACAGCTCCCTATTCATTTGATTAAAAACATACAGATATTTTTTCATGTCCCATCTTTTGCTCTTCTTACGTGTTGTGGACATCTAACTAGACTGCTGTAAGGTGGACTCAAAAGCAAAAAGCAAGATCTGCATTTTCAAAAATGACTATTAATTAGGGGTACGGTAATCTTTGGCAAATAAACTTGAAGACCGTTAACAGGATCTTGCAAGACAGTAAGCAAATTTACTAATCCAAGCAGTCGAGATAGCACCTGTCCGCTTTACACAAGACTGTAAGAGGGATTTATTAAAGAAGAAGGGACACCAGGCACTCAAAGCCATACAAGACAGGTTATAGGAAAGGTACTGCAGAGCTCACCAGTCAGGCAGGAAGAGACAGAAGCAAACCTTTAATGCTAGACACTTTTCCCAAACACCTGTGGAGAAGGAGTGGTGCTCAAGTGCTCACAGAAGGTGCCCTTTCCAAGCTGAAATCAGATGGTCCCATGTCAAATGTTGTGAGGATTTTTCTTAAATGACCAGCCTTGGAACAGGGTCTACATGTATGAACCATTTTAGGAACTGCATTGTTTGTTGGACAGAATTTGCTGTGTTTACTAAGGCTCCTTTTACTCTAAAACCTTGCAGGTTCAGCATTTTGAAATAGGAATAGCTCTGTATTCACATATGCAAGCATAGACCTGTGAGTACAGCAGTCTGTCACAGCTCTTCTGCTGTCGCAGAGCCTCCAGGACTGCTGATGCTGGTGAATTTTTCCAGCTCCAGCATTTCCTTAGCCTGGCAGGAGCCAGACCAGTGAGATGCGCTGTCAGGATACATACTAGAGGTGTAAGCTGAGGACACTGAGAAATGGACAAAATGCACCAAGATCCCTATCTCTAGTACCACTTACACCTGGGAGGCTTGCAGGAGAGACAAATACTACTTCTGAACCCGAGCTGTGAATGAAGCTGGTGTGGGAGAAGCAGAAGAGTTATAGGAAAGAATTCTAGCAATGCCACCTTCAGGTAAGACCTGCAGTATCTCTCCAGCTGGAATTCCCATCTATCAGTTGTTACTGTCTTGTGTTTTTAAAATATACCTCACTTTGTAAAGGGTTATCAAATTCACCTTGCACAAAGGAACATTTAGCATCACAGCTCTGCTTCTTTTCGCTGAGTTTTCAGAGGTGCTGAGAGGAGATGGAGAACAGAACAAGCTGTGCAATCCTTGAGCCAAATTAAAACCATTTTGCCATCCTTCTTGCTGAGCTGTACCCTGAATGTGTGTGTCAGGTGTAACGGCAGCTGTTTCTTCCCCCATCTGACCTCTCACATCACATCTCACATGTGATTACAGAGGTCACTGTTGGAAGATTCTCTGATCCTGTGACGGATACTCTAGTCTGAGTATGGGTTAGGAGAGTATGTACTACAGCAAATAAACCATCATGTTTGAACTGCCCATTTGTTATAAATACAGTGGTACTGAGACGGGATTATAATTCTTTCAGGCACTCGGTTTCAATAGGATGAACAGTCAGGTGCCAGTATGCTAAAGTTGAAATAGTACTATCAGAGTTCATGCTTCGAAGACACTAATAATGTCTTGAGAATGAAGATATCGTGAGCTGCCATGAAATCCCTAGATAGCTTACTATAAGAAGTGGCAAAGTATTTAAATCTTTGTTGTTTAAGACTTATGATTGCTTAATCGGGAAATTCAGACTTTTTATGTCTAAGATACTTCTGGGTAACAAAGCATGGTGCTGACTGCCCTCAGTAGCAGTAACGCCAGCCAGAAAAGATGCGTGATTCATGAGTTGTGTTATACAACTCTGATTCCTATGGAGTAGAAGGACATTAAGGCTTGACTGAGAATGTCTCAGAAGGCAACATCCAGGTGACCGATTAAAAAATGGTTGTTTCTCAGCTCAGTCTCCACTTTGGAACTACACAACCAGTCCATACCAGCACGGCTTTGTTACCACATCTCCAAATAGAGAAACGCCAAAAAATCGCAGAGAGCCTACAGGCTCCAGACAAACTTGTCTGGTGTGGAATGGCAACATGCAGGGCTGTACTGAAGAGCATGAGAAGTCCTGTAAGACACAGACATTATACAAAATCGTTTGTGGCAGAAGGTGGACGGTAAAATCATCTAATGAAGCATTAAAACTGCCTCTTCTTTTCTTTGTTCTCATTCACTTTTTACGTGACCTATTTTTAAAAGTTCCTGTTCCATCTGCCTCACCTGAAATTGTCCTGAATAGGTGCTCATCACTCAGCTGTTGATTGCTTGAGGGATTAATTATCTTCTAATGGTACTGGTATTAGCAAAAGAGCTGGCAACATTGTAATCCTTACACTAACTGCCTTCTGCTGAAACAATTTGAAGGTTTCTTCTTCCAGTCTCCAGGCGTGACTCAACAGACTGAAGAATGGCTTTACTTTGGCAGTCTCTCACTCTTTTAATTTTTTAATTTCTCTTTCGCTGTTTTTCTTTTAGTCCCCCCACTCCCCCAGGTTTCATCCAACTGTGAGGCTGAAGAGCCACATGGTGATTTGTGCTGGGACAGCATCATGCATTCATACATCTTTTCCCTGTGAGATTGTGTTGTGTCCTGTCAGAGGACAAATCCTGCCATCAGTTTTCTTGGGCATCTGGTGAAATACTGCTGCAGGGCTATGAAGGCTGTAGTTGTCCTTTGGCCTTTATCACATGAGCTGTCACTTTGGTTTAACAGTTGACTGTTGGAGAAAATTCATGCATTGCTTTAAGTTCATGAAGTCCTGCATAACTTCTCACTATTTTTATGGCTAGTCTTTTTATAAGCCTTCTCATGGTGGTTAGGGTAGAGGGACTTATGTGCACGCAAGTTTGTCAGCTGCACAATCCAGCCCTCTGCAGCTGGAGCAACAGTGTTCAGCAAACCATAAAACATTGGGGAAGCTCTCTGATTCATCACAAGAAGCAGAATTTTTTGAGCATGCAACTACAGTTCATGCTAACGGAAGTGAAATCATTCTTGATTAAACCTTGAATGACCCAGGGGGGATCAGGTTGTAGAGACAACGCTTGAGGTCCCAACACTGTCCTTTCTGAGGTACAATCTCTATTAACATGGATGATGAGCTCATTTCCGTAGAGGCTAAGGGCAATTTCTATGCTTTCCTTTTTTTTCAGCCTAGACTTCTGCACAATCTGAGGCGCTACAGTACCTTGCAGAATCAGCCCCAGTGTAAGAGTGTATCTCTCAGTCTAAATTGTACAAGTCTATCTGTATCACACCAGGTGTTTTCCCTCAGCTTTCAAGATGATCAGAATAATGACCTGTAGGATAAGGTTTATGTGGCAGGCCAAGCCAGCTCTGTGCACTGGCTGCAGTGACACAGGGGACGCTGATGCTCTGGATTCACAGGAGCAGCAGTACACCTCTAAAGACAGAGGTAAGCATAAAAATTCCTGACAGTGCTGGAGGAAGATGGGTGTTTTGTATACAACACTGTGGACTAAGCTCAGGCTCCCTCTGTGGCGCTGGGTGTATCACTAACCTGTTCTGCATTTCAGGTCCCCACCTGAGGAACAGACACAGGAATACCTTCTGTCCTATCCTATCCATTTGATGGCAATCTCTTCAGGACCAGGCTTCCTTTTATTTTACTACATGTACGTGTAGCACATTACATAGCAGCTCATACAGATGCTGATTAAATTAAAATTCAAGGCAGTAGGGACTATCTGTGAGCAGGGAGGGTGCTGTTGTCACTTCTCGACATAACAGAAGATTGGCATTATAAATGTCATCTGTCTTGTAGCATATGTCTAGTCTGACTGGGATTTGTTTCCTAAATCAAAAGAATCTGTCCCATATAGGAGACTGTGTAACAGTCTGTCTGGGCCAGAAGCTGCAAGTCCCTAAAAGCGCATTAAATTAAAGACTCAGAGGTCATCCTTTCAGGTAAACACCTTCTCCTTTGTTCAGTTGCTCGCTGCCCAGGCCTAATCAGTAATAGGCATATCTCATTAGCAGTACTCCCAAACAAAACTGAACATGCTCCAGCTCATCAAATCAAAATGGTAAGTGATCCCTCTGTCCAGTCTGGGGCAAAGCAGAATGCAGTTACTCTGAATAGTGAGATGCAAGGCAAATTTTTTTGCTTGGCCTATGCCTGTTGTAATAAACAATATAGTAATATAAACCAAACTATATATTAACATATATTACCAAACTACGCATATACCTTCAGAAGCCTGTCCATATGCTGCTAAAAGCCTGCTAATCCCATTGAGTAATGGGCAATACATGGAAATAACAGGATAAGTAGTACACTAAAATGAGTAATCAGGTGTCAAATTGTGTATTTGTACTTAACAATCAGCCTTCTTTGATCGATGTAACTAGACCATAGGTATGTTATTTCTGTTACATGTGCAGCTGAGAAAGAGCGCTTCCAGTTATATGGCTGTAGTTGTGTTCTTGTATGGAAGTAGTCTAGGCCTAACTTCAGTAATTGCTGTGTATGTAGGTGAGTATAAAAGAGTAGTAAATGGAGAAAAGCTAGGTTGGTTGTGCCTTCCTTGCAGTGCATTCCTTCGGACATTCCCTTGACAACAGCCTGTCTGTCTGTCTTCAGGCAGGACAGAAGCAGATGTAAAGTGGTTTCCTATTCTTCATTATAAATGGCAAGTCACATGGTTTATTTGCACAAACCTGAGAGATGGTGGAAAAACTCTGAAGGATAAGGAGGAGGTAAGCTGTTTTCTGAGAATAAGGTCTCATAAGAGAATTTTACCATACAGTGCTACATTAAGGACCCAGGGGATCTACCTGATGGGACCCCATGCCAATACAAAAGGACATAATAAAGACTTTAAGAAGTGTGTTTAAATACAGGCTGAAAATGGAAGATTTGCAGTGGGGACATTAGAAATTTAAATTGCATATGCAGTTGCCCTTGATTCACCCAGAGCATTCTGTAGACTATAAATGCCTCAGAGCAATATCAGCAGAGCAATATCCCATCCTTTACAAGATCACCTGCTTTGGTTTATAACTGGGTGTAATTTAATCATGCATTTCTAAAGTGCCTTGGGAGCCAAATATCCAAAAGCACTTTACAATTTAATGGCATTAGTGAGAGAAGGCATCAATATGTCCCCATGGAGCAAAAACCTGACACCTTGCTTACAGACCAAGAAACAAAGAAATTAATTGCTTGCTTACAGCTGCATAGCAGATTAATGGGAGAATGAGACTTCTGATTCCTTCCTCTCTTGCTTTTCAGTTCGTATTTGTTTACATGTTGAGATAGGTATGCCGGCCAGATGCTGAGAGTAATGTGGTGTATTGTTTCTTCTTCCTCCTCCCTGAGTCTTCCCTTGTAGGAAAGAAGGTCTAGGTCATGAAATGTTACACCCAAACTCTTTGGATTTGTACTTGTGCAGCAGAAGACTCTCTGTCTTGATGGCGCTGGCTCTGTGTTTGTATGTTTGCGTGTGCAACAGACAGTGCAGTGTGAAGCAGCCCATAGTGACTGTCCTCAGCAGAGTGTTTTGACTTCAGGTCAGAGTATCCCAGGAAGGACTGTGCTTCCCATTTCATCGTCCCACTGAAGAACCACAGCATGAGTCATGGCAACAACTGCACCGAACAACTGCACCGTGAGCTGTACTTTCATCAGTGACCCCCACCCAACAGTGACCCTGTATAAGGGCAGTATTAGCATCACATCCAAGTCTAAGTTGTGGTCCAACTCAACAAGTAGCATCTGTCTGCTTATGATCCCTACAACTTGCAGCTGCAGCTGATCATCTGTGGTAAGTTAGATCTGCAGCCACTGTGATTTGTTGGGGATGATTCCCTCCAAGTTGCGTAACCACAGATTTCACATCTCTAAGTATAGTTTACACCCTGCTATTTTCCAGGGCAAGTGCACTTACTGGGCCTGGCACTGTGGATCACAATTCTCTGGGCCAGTTTGGCTTTTGTCCTTGTCCACAGAGGAAGAGATTGCTCAGTCTGTAGGTACTGCAGCTGGAGCTGCCAGAGCCACATTGTAAGAACTTACCTTCATATCCAAAAAGCAGCCTAACTCTGACTTTGTCTTCCTCTGAAGTCACTGAGATTTGTCTTCAGTTACTTGAAGACAGTACTGGGTCCCTTAAAGTGGCATGTTTTGGCTAGCAGGTCTCACGAATCCCATAGATGGCTCAAAACAAGTATGGCCATTTCTCAGTCCCTAACCAGGCTTGCCCTGTGCCGTTGCATACATAGCACCTCCAAGCAGTCAACTGATGCATTCTGCCAACAGTTTTGTGCTTTTTTTGCAGACACCACAGACAATGTACTGGGTAAATCTGTTCTCTTCCTTTGTGAAATGGAAGAATTTTGCCAACATTGTATGAAAGCTAGTAAAAATTTCCAAGACACAAAAAGGAAGAAAATCAGACATTTCATATTCCCATCTCACTTCTCTGTTTTCTTCCATACTGGAAGCACCCAGTAAAGTTTTAAATCAGGTTGTAACACATCGCTTGGTTCCAGCTGGCTCACGTTGGTCCTGTCAGACTGAAAACTTTCAGGTGCATGTGGTGAGGTTTTACTAACAGTAACCCACGACCCACACATGGTTTCCCCATGTCACCATGCCCAAACTTGAAGTTTTCAGCGTGGCTTTACAATATGAACAGCAGCATGTTGAAACAGCTGTGTCCTGTGAGTTTCATCAGCCGCTGGTAAGCTTACCCTGCTTATGATTGATTAGCTAGGGAGTCTTCAATGTTAAACATTTGAGAGCAAGAATTCTCCATCCTTTTGTCTGTCATGACACTGAAGTACATTTTCCTTATTCTCCCTCTCTAGAGAAAGGCCCTGGTGCCTCAGGACCTGTTGGTGTTCTCTGAAAGGGAACAAGACAGAGACACTGCCAGGCACAGCTTGAAATGAGACTGATACAGCACCAATAATGAGAGACTATATTTGGAAAGATCTTTTAAGGTTATTTTTGTCTATGATCACTGCTTCTGGACAGCCTGCTGAGCCCTTCCCACCCCCCCATGGTTTGGTTCTCTCTGCTAATGTGGAAGTAGCTCAGTGTGGGTTGGTGGAGGGAAAGGATGTGCGTGCTGGGTTTCCTGCTCTGATTTTCAAGCCAACTTATCTGCCTTTGTGTGTACAATACATGCAACATTTCTTTCACTGAAGCCAGCCACTAACCAACTAAAAGACTGAAAGCAGTTCTTTACCTTTTTTTAAGAACTCCTGTTATTGGGTCTCCCATTCCCTGCGCTCCCTGGTATACTCCTCTCTGAAGCCACAGTTTCAAGCCACAGCTGGAGGAATTTCCCCAAAACCAGTGGGAGCTTTCCCTGGCCTGGCATCACTGCCAGCCAGGCTGACACAAGAGGAGCCCTGACAGCACCACTCACCTAGGTTTGGGGAGGGCAGGCAGGCACAAGAACAGCTTTCTGTCCCCTCAGAGATCTGCTTGCTGGGTAGGACTTACCTTCTGCCTTCCCACACAGAGCTTGTTGAGGTGAGGACTGTTATCACGATAGGAACATACCTCTGGCAAAGTTACTCAAAGCAGCCTGTTCACCAGCAGAGCTGGCTAAGGAATGAGGCTTGCAAAAGCACTGTGTGTGGTGAGGTGCTCATTTATATTCAGATTCCTTAATGGCAGCCTATTTCTAGGCCTCCTCAGGATCATCCTTGCCTTGACCTGGGCAATCTTTTTGGAGGGTCTCCCTGCTGCTAGGGCTATTTGCAGCTGAGTGAGGTGTGAAAGCAGGAGTCAGAGACTGTAAAACTGACTTTAGAAGATAAGGAATTCACTTCAAATTGAGCTTAACTGCATGTTTATTTTAGATCTTGAGAGCTATATTCTTGCTAATTTTAGTTCTGGAAGAGGGGTAGTTACTGCCTGGAGTCAGGTGCTGTAGGACATTGTACTTTGTGTGACAGCACTCTTCCTTAGGCTGGGAGCTCCTGCAGACCAGGACTTGGAAGACTTTCTTTAGGGACTTCTTTTAGACACTTTCAATGGTCTTTACCATGGTGACAGGCTATCCAAAGGGAAAGGAGTAAAGAGTGATCTAAAGGATGAGCAAATCTGCTGGTCTGAATAGCTGTGCAGGAGTCTCAGTTGCTGATTCCAAGGGAGCTAAACCTCTGCTTCTCAAATATCTGTCTCCACTCCTAATGTGTGCTCTTCTCTCTCTCTCCTTTAAGCAAGGACACTTGCATTTGGCTGCTTAGCCATGTTTTCAGTTTTAGCTGTTTTCTTAATATTTGCAAAGACAAATAGGACATTGCTCCACCTCTGTGACACACAGCAGCATCTTTTCTGCTCTTATAGCTCAGAAGGAGTGATTTTAATTTTCCTTAGGCTGGGAGGTGACAGGTTGCAGAGAACACAAAGCCTGTCAGACCCAAAGTGAACTATTCGGAACAGTGATAAACTGAACAAGGGGAAATGAGAATGAAAATGAGAACTCCCTAAATTTTAACTGTTCACTTCCTATGAAAACTGACCAGACAACTTTTTCCTTTATTGAGTGGAAAGCTTTATTAAGCTTTATAAAGCTTTTTAGCCAGAACTTTGTGAGACTTGTCCTCAAAACATAGGTTCAGTTGCAGTAATTGTGACACTCCTTTCCCCCCCCTTAAGATGATAAAAGCCTCCTGGACACAGTGACAGAAAGTTTGCAGAAGTCAAAACACAAGATGTAATTAGTGGAACTAGCTCTGGCTGGTTCAGCATGCAGAACAGCATTGCTGTGGCTGTGTAGTTTGTCTGTTTGTGTGGCTCAAACTGCAACTGCCCTTGGCTTCTGCAATGGTCGGTTAAACCAGGTGGCAGAGTGGGGCTTCTGCTCAGCAAGGATGCTTTTGATGCTTCCATCTTCCTTCCCTCTAAGTGTTTTTGGACAGCAGGGTGCATGTTAAATGTGGTATTTCTAACATCTGCTAATGTATCTTAATGATAATAAAAGGAGCCAAAGATTGCAGTTATCTGTTCTATATACCAGTTTGCTTCTGCACTGGTCACGGAGAATCCTGTTTCTGAGCTCAAGAGGAGACTTGGGTTCTGTCTCCCATGTCCCTCGATATCCCAGCCAGACCTCCGTGATGATTGAGGCTTCATTATGACAGACGGTATATAAATATAGAGTAAGCTATATATCTGAAGTACTTAAATCTTTGCAATAGCAAGAAAGTAAATACAGTCTGCAGCTGCAAATGAGGAAGTTACTTTGTGAAAGAGCTGGCTGTGCAAGGTAAAACTTGAGATCCAGAAGGGTCCAGGAATTTCACTGCTGGTGGCTAAGACTAGATAGGGAGTTACAGAGTATCTGAACCTTTGAAAGATCAACAAATTGTCAGATAGATAAATATCACAGAATCACAGAATCACAGAATAGCAGGGGTTGGAAGGGACCTCTGTGGGTCATCTAGTCCAACCCTCCTGCTGTCCAGAGCAGAGCACCGACAGATGAGTAAGTCATCAGGAAAGCTACCAGGGGTTCCCATCTCCACCAAGAGAAACACTAAAAACAGCCCCTCTGCAAATCAGTAGGTTTGTCTGTACTACTCCACAAACTGTGTTACTCTTCCACTGCGGGCAGCAGTTCACAGGTTTCACAGAATCACAGAATCACAGAATAGTAGGGGTTGGAAGGGACCTCTGTGGGTCACCTAGTCCAAATCCCCTGCCGAAGCAGGGTCACCTACAGCAGGCTGCACAGGACGTTGTCCAGGTGGGTCTTGAATATCTCCAGAGAAGGAGACTCCACAACCTCCCTGGGCAGCCTGTTCCAGTGCTCTGTCACCCTCAGAGGGAAGAAGTTCTTCCTCATGTTCAGACGGAACTTCCTGTGCCTCAGTTTGTGCCCATTGCCCCTTGTCCTGTCACTGGGCACCACTGAAAAGAGCTTGGCCCCATCCTCCTGACACCCACCCTTCAGATATTTATAAGCATTTATTAGGTCCCCTCTCAGCCTTCTCTTCTTCAGGCTGAACAAGCCCAGCGCCCTCAGCCTCTCCTCATAGGAGAGATGTTCCAGTCCCCTCATCATCCTCGTAGCCCTCCACTGGACTCTCTCCAGTAGCTCTTCATCCTTCTTGAACTGGGGAGCCCAGAACTGGACACAGTACTCCAGATGAGGCCTCACCAGGGCAGTGTAGAGGGGAAGGAGAACCTCCCTCGTCCTGCTGGCCACACTCTTCTTGATGCACCCCAGGATCCCACTGGCTTTCTTGGCAGCCAGGGCACACTGCTGGCTCATAGTTAACCTGTCGTCCACCAGGACACCCAGGCCCCCCTCCGCAGAGCTGCTCTCCAGCAGGTCCACCCCAAGCCTGTACTGGTGCATGAGGTTGTTCCTCCCCAGGTGCAGGACCCTGCACTTGCCCTTGTTGAACCTCATCAGGTTCCTCTCTGCCCACCTCCCCAGCCTATCCAGGTCACGCTGAATGGCAGCACAGCCTTCTGGTGTATCTACCACACCTCCCAGTTTGGTGTCGTCAGCAAACTTGCTGAGGGTACATTCTAACTCTTCATCCAGGTCGTTGATGAAGAAGTTAAACAAGACTGGGCCCAGTACTGACCCCTGAGGGACACCACTTGTCACCAGCCTCCAACTAGACTCAGCGCCCCTGATGACAACCCTCTGAGTTCTGCCATTCAGCCAGTTCTCAATCCACTTCACCGACCACTCATCCAGCCCACACTTCCTCAGCTTCCCCAGGAGGATATCATGGGAGACTGTGTCGAAAAATGCGAAGTTAATGCGAAGTATTCTGAAAGGACTAAAAAGTAGGATTAGAATCCAAGAAGAAAAAGCCCTATTAGTGTGGGGAGACATCAGTGAATTACTAAATGTCATTTAGGTTAAAGATACAAGTAGAATCACAGAATCATAGAACCAGAATCTTAGAACAGTGTGGGCTAGAAGGGACCTTTAAAGATTATCCAGTTCAACCCCCTTGCCATCTTCAACTAGATCAGGTTGTTCAGGGCCTGGCCTTGAATGTTGCCAGGGATGGGGCATCTACTGCCTCTCTGGGAAACCTGTTCCAGTGTTTCACCACCCTCATCATAAAAAATGCCTTCTTTATATCCAGTCTAAATCTGCTGTCTTTTAGTTTAAAATCATTACCCCTTGTTCTATCGCAACAGGCCCTGATAAAAAGTCTGTCCCATCTATCTTATAAGCTTCCTTAGGTACTGAAAGGCCACAAGAAGGTCTCTCCCAAGCCTCCTCTTCTCCAGGTTGAACAGTCCCAACTCTCTCAGCCTTTCCACATAGCAGAGGTTCTCCATCCCTCGGATCATTTCTGTGGCCCTCCTGTGGACCCACTCCAACAGGTCCATGTCTTTCCTGTGCTGAGGGCTCCACCAGAGCTGGACACAGGACTCCAGGTGTGAGCACACATTGCTGGGTCATGTTGACCTCATGTCCACAAGTAAATGTGATAAATGAAGAGAACATGTTGATGACGAAGAAGTAATGAAAAACATTTTTCCAACTTGTGCAGTCCAATAAAGGTTTCTTGAAGAGATAACCATGTGGTAAATATTTATTAAAATTTAAATACTTTTAATGAGATTTTTAAAAATTGAAGTACCCTCTCTGCGTGAATTTTTTAAAGCTTATATATAATATATGAATTTTCTTTCACTCTCCAGTGAGTTCTGACTGGCCAAAGGAATCATCTCCCATTTTACTTATACATGTCTACTGTTAATATGTTTAATATTTTGAAGAAATTCTTCATGAACACAATTTAAAAGAAACCTTTCACTTTAACCTGAATCAAAATACTTAATTTCAAACTGAAAATAGTTGCTGCTGTATATATAACTTTATTTTGTTTCAGAATTTTTGAGGAAGACTATGTTTCATAGACTTGTCATCACCATTTCCCACTGACTATATAGCGCCCCAGAATTTACAGCATAATAAATCAATAATGCTTCATGGGAAATACAATTTGGTCTGTAGTAGGAGACATTAAAGACCCAGAATTAAAATTCCCATGAGGCACATCAACAGCTCTGGCAAACACACACAGGTTTCAAGCAAGTTGTCCCACCACGTTTCTGTGATGGCGACCAAGTCGTAGCCGTCCTGCTGTATAATGGCTTCCAGCTCCTCCTGTTTATTGCCCATGCTACGTGCATTGGTGTAAACACACTTGGCTGGGCTGTCAATCTCACCCCTGGCCTTGGCACTCCAAGCCTGGGCTCATCCCTAGTGTCCCTAGTGAGCTGGGCGATGTCCCCTTCCCCCTTCGAACCTAGTTTAAAGCCCTCTCAATGAGCCCCGCCAGCTCGTGGCCAAGAATTCTTTTTCTCCTTTGAGACAGCTGAGTTCCACCTGTTGCCAGCAGGCCCGGTGCTGTGTACACCTCCCCATGATAAAAGCAGCCAAAA